ACATGTCATACTTACCTGCTGTGAGCAGTGGTTTTGCACACAGCATCCCCAATCCTCCTCTTCTCGGGTCCCCCGCCAGCGCTCCTGGCCCCTCCCTTCTGCCAAGTGCACCCAGCAGGCTTGCTTCCGAGCCTCTGCTCTGTGTGTCCATTCACAAATAGACCTGTGGCTTGACCCCGCCCCCCTCTCTCTCTTCATTGGCTCACTGGCTGAATGACTGTCCCAGCCAGTGAGGAGGGAGAGTCCTTGGAGAGCCGAGAATCATGCACATCGCTGGATTGCGATGGGACGCAGGTAAATATTAAGAGGGGGGCTGCACACAGAACGTTTTTTACCTTCATGCATAGAATGCATGAAGGTAAAAACCTTGAGCCTTTGCAACCATTTTAAGGGGTAGTAAACACCTCTTGGTGGCTTATAAAAAAAAAAAAAGCTTACTTGTAGGTACAATTATATTATTATACAGGATTTATATAGTGCCAACAGTTTGCGTAGCGCTTTACAAAATGAAGGTAGACATTACAGTCACAATACAATTTGGTAGAAGAGGAACAGAGGGCCCTGCTCGTTAGAGCTTACAATCTAGGAGAAGGAATATCTTCCAAACGTGCACCATTTAGGACGTATTCACTATTTCTGCAGCAGGTGACGTCACTGGCGCATGTGCACTGCACTCAATAAAAACATCTCTGTGTTGTGATCATGGCTCCCGTACACATGCGCGGGAGTGACGTCATCGCAGCTTGACCATTCAATCGGCCTGAGACTGTGAATTCGGAAGGAAGACCAGGTGAAGATGGAAGCCCTGTCAGTGGTGACAGTACGCCACTGGAGGGTTTCATAATGTGCTAGTATGAGGTGCATACTAGCACATTGTAACATTAACTTGCAGGGGAAAGGTTTCTTTTTTTTTTTTTTTGCAGACTTTACTACCACTTTACCTCATTTTGTTTGTCACACACACAGATAATTTAGGACCACAATTTTTTGACACAAGCGCTGCTCAATATGGTTTAATAAAGACAAGAAGTCATTTTTTCAGGGTATTGCTTAGGCACAATCAGGGGCGGACTGACCATTCAGGCCCCGGGGTCAGTAGGGGGCCCCATGAGATGCCCCTGGTACCTTTCATAGCCTTTTTCATAGGCTTTTTTTGGTGTGGTTTGAGTGTAAGCGAGGACACAGGGGCCCCATGAACCCCTATTGTCCGGGGGCCCCATGAGTTGTCAGTTTGCTCCTGGGCACGGTTAACACCTTTAGATGTTCCTCCTTTCAGTTTCCCACCATGGCCAGGAAAGAATGTAATGCAGAGTGATGTGCATTGCACTACATTTAGTGAAGCACAGAGGTAACATCCAGAGTCTTCTACTGTAGATCTAGACCTTTTGTCCCCCCGTGTGATGAAAAAAAAGTCAAGTAAAAAAAATTTGAAAAAAATTGAAGTCGCACCCAAGCACATAAAATACCCCCCAAAAACTTTGAGGAACCCCACATATATGTACGGACAAATGTAAACGTACACGTTGGGGGCACCTACTCATGAAAACCTTGATTGATATTTGCATTTTACATATCGACGCACATGCCAGAGTGAGAGCAATATTTCTAGCACCAGATTTCCTCCATAACACTAAACTGATGATCTATAGGAGACTTTTAAAGTGTCACCTATAGAAATATAGGGTACTGAAGTTTGTCGCCATTTAATGGAAAGCACACAAATTTAAGGTTTGACATGTTGGTTATCTATATACTTGACACAACTTCATCTTTTTATATTTTGCCCAAAAAATGGGTAATGTTGCGTTTGTCTCTGCCCTAAAATTAACTTTAGTTTATTTTTTAACTGAAATTTTGCATTTCTTAGACCTTTGCAGTAATAGCATGTAGCATAATAAATTGGAACTACCACTATTTTATATTCTAGGGTGTTTGCTTTCAGAAAATATATAATGTTTTGAAGATTTTATGCAATCTTCAGGCTAAAAGGATTTTATATAAAAACACAAAAACCGCTAAAGGCAGCTAAAGGGTTGAAATGTAGCCATCTAGAGGTGCTTACACATTCCCTCAGAGTTCTCCTGTCCAGCCTGAATTTCAGCATGCTCCAAATGGCAGAGCTACAGCGCTTCTTGATACTCCCGAAGCTGGCCTACACCTTTCAACCTCCTGGGTTCATGCCTATTGGCCAGTATTGATAATCATAATGATGGGTCAGAAACAATATATGGGTGGCCTAGCTGGTTTTGGGAATTTCTTGGCACAGCCTGGAGAAAAGTGATCTGGCAGGTGGGTGTCTTCTCTGTGTACTTGGGGATATCTTTCCAGGTTTAAGGTGAGCCAACAGGTTTAAAATTTGTGATGTTCCTTTTGGTCCCTTGTGTCTTCGTTCAGCATTAAAATGCAAACCCAACACTGTAGGCGTACTAATGCCAGTTATGACTCTTTATTTTTTAAATCCCATTCCAAACGAGTCCCCATTGTGTATTTCCCAGTATAACTCCTTCATGTTAATATATATTTTAATTTATTCTGGCAATCAGCTGCAACCTTTATTTAGGGTTTTTTCCGTCGCTGCTTGCAGTCTGTACGAATGGCTGTTCAGCTTGCATATAAATGCAGCAATTATAAACTTAGTATTGATCCCGTTTCCTTTGTTTGAACACCTAGAGCCAGCTATGCTCTGCTCTATTTATGCAACAATCCATCTTCAGTTCTTCTGGAACAGGAGACACAAAGTTCCCGTCCTGTAATTTTGCTTTTCAATTTACTTGGCTTTAGTTGGTCCTTGCGGCAGGAGATCATGAAAGCAAATGAAATAATTGCAAACGCAACAGCAAAGGGGGCCCTTGCGTAGGTGTGTGCTCACCGCACGGCCTGTCCATGCTGCACAAAGGTACAGTGTTTCAAAATGATCTGCATCACCTAGATTAGTCACTTGGTGGTTTCTATATTTAACAAAAAATTCCTCGCTGGGGAACCTGCCTGCTGTCTTCTAATATCTGGCTTGATATTAGTTTACAAACCATTCCATGACCATAGAGTCATGCTTCGTATGGGGATGGGTTTCAGACATGGTCCTTGACATCACTAAAGGACTGCACAATATTCTGTGAAAGCTTTCAGAGTCTGCAGACATGCACCCGGAGATTGTCCTAAACTGCAGGTATGTAAAAAAATATTTCCAGAGACTATGGGCATGCCATAAGAGATGGATAGAGCCTGCATATTTGCTGCACACGATGTTCACAGACTACAGATATGTTATAGCAGTTGTTGGAGACTGGTGGCATGCCTTAGGAGATCCCCATAGACTGGAGACACATTACATGAGACTGCTAGAGATTACAGCCCCTTTACAAATCATTGCTTCCAAATTTGTGCCCCCTACAGCCATCTTAAAAAAGACTTGTGCAACATTTCCTATTTTGCAAGAGCCCAATAAAATATCATTGGGGAAAAAAGACATAAAGAGAGAAAAGGAATAGACAGCATCTAGATGGTAAGCACCTAGATAAGGAAAACAGACTAGTATCTGCAGGGCTCAATAGGCTACACATGAAGCACCATGGAGATGCATCCAGCCCCTAGACCAGGGGTCTCAGAACTTTCTAAACAAAGGGCCATTTTACTGTGCATCAGACTTTAGGGGGGCTGGACTGTGGCCAGTAGGAATAGAAAATATATATTTGAAGTGGTAGAAATATAAATGTGATATTAGGGTAAATATAGTGCCCCATCTTTGGTGTCAGTGGAAAGAATAGTGCCCCATCATTGATGTCAGTGGAATGAATAGTGCCCACATGTTGGTGTCAGTACAAGAATTATTGCCCCATTGTTGGTGTCAGTGAGAGGAATAGTGCCTCATATCAGTGGGGGAAATAGTGCCCCATCATTGGAGCCAGTGGGAGGAATAGTGCCACATCGTTGGTGTTAAGGGGGGAAGAATAGTGCCCCACTGTTATTGTCAGTACAGGAATTATTGCCCCATTGATGGTATCAGTGGTGGAAGAATAGTGTCCCACTGTTATTGTCAGTACAGGAATGATTGCCCCATTGTTGTTATCAGTGGGAGGAATAATGCCCACTCATAATCGGGGGGGGGGGAAATAGTGCCCTATCATTGGAGCCAGTGAGAGGAATAGTGACCCATTGTTGGTGTTAATGGGGGAAGAATAGTGCCCCACTATTATTGTCCAGTACAGGAATTATGCCCCATTGATGGTGTCAATGGGGGAAGAATAGTGCCCCACTGTTAATGTCAGTACAGGAATTATTGCCCCATTGATGGTGTCAGTGGTGGAAGAATAGTGCCCCACTGTTAATGTCAGTACAGGAATGATTGTCCCATTGTTGTTGTCAGTGGGAGGAATAGTGCCTCATATCAGTGGGAGGAATAGTGCTTCAAGGGCCAGATAAAGGTATGCAAAGGACCGCAGTTTGGAGACCACTGTCATTGACCACAGATTGGGCATCAGAGGAATAAAATAACTGGTTTCCACCCAAACTAGCTTTATATGCATACTGTATGTAAAGTTTATGTAAACCCTAACAATGGAATCCTCTTAGTTGGTCCTCTCAAGGCTGTTTCACACCAGAGCACCATGTTTTTGCACGTTTTTGAGTGTTTTTGTACAGCATATTCCAATCGTTTTGGAGCGTTGGCATTTTTCTATTAGCCAAAGGAGAAAATTATCATCTGTTACATTATTTTTGCCATGTATTTCTGCTTTCAGCTGCTTCAAAAACTCACCAATCTGCCTGAATTGAGCTTCAAAAGTAGCTCCAAACTTTTGTGAGCTTCGGGCATATTTGGCTTAAGGTATTTTGGACTGGAAATGTGAACCACCACCATAGAGAATAATTGATTTTTTCTCCCTGAGACTTTTGCAGCTTCGAGCTACAAAACACTCAGGTGTGAATGGGTCTGGTAACTATACCAGTAAAAGCATTTGGTTAAAGCTGAATGCCAGGACAAGCAAATATGGTCTAAATACAAGTGTGCATTCTTACTGGAATCTTGGTGTGATCTGTGTGTTTCTTCCAGATCTGGGCAGTAATCCACTGTGAAACATTGCCTCAGTACAGGATATCCTGTAATAAAGACTAGTCACTGCTGCTCGCTTTCCTTGGTCTTGTCTCCACCCCCTCCTGTAGTTTTCTGCAGGCAGCCTGCAGCGGGTGGAACCTTCTGGGCCCCACCCACAGCTCTGCTGTCTTCACAGGCTATGTACAGCACAATAATGATGTCACTGCTACTTTTACAAAATAATATCAGGGTTTGCAAAGGCATTTTATGCACACAAAGTAGATTTATATCCCTTGTGGCTATAAAGTCATATATGAAATTAAAAGTAATTTCACCCAGAATTCAGCTTTAATATGTTTGATAAGTGCAAGAAAAATGCCTGTTGATTCTGCCAGAAATCTTCCTATGCTGTGTGCCTCTGCTGACTTGTATCAGTTACGTTGTTCCCAACTCTCTCTATGGAATACAGAACATATGTTAGGGGGAAGTGTTTTGCAGTCCTGAAGTCCTGCATCACATATCATGATATGCCTGACGAAGGGGTCCTGCACGGCTCCGAAGTGTCGCACTTGGTCCTTTGTGATGTCATCTTTCTACAATAAAAGCTGCAGACAACATTTGACAATGCATGGTGTGCTGGCGAATATGTGCAGTGTTTTGCAGTCATAACACACTTCCTGTCCTAGGGTGACAATGCTACTACTGTATAGATACAGTACAGTGAGAGTGGTCACCCTTGGACAGGAAGTCTGTTTCTACAGAATCACCAGGTAAAAATAAATAAACAAAAAGCTTGAAAAGAGTAAACTAAGTCAGCCATCTCATCTAAAGACTGGAAAGCTGTAATACAGAGTTTCTCAACCAGGGCTCCATGGAACCCTAGGGTTCCTCCAGAGGTTGCCAGGGGTTCCTTAACCAGTTCCCACCCACCCAATAAAAAAATGGCAGCCGAGCAAGACTTTCGTCAATCTGGGTGGAGGTCGTATGATGTCCTCCCAGATTGCCAGTGTCCATCAAACAAGGCCGAAGACTAATATGTGTACCAGCCCGTTGCCAGAACCATGTGACCACTGTGACCACTCACAGCAGGTCACATGATAATTGCAAACAATGAATGGTTTCCTTTCATGCCATCCATTGTATACAATTGTGTTGCTAGCTGTGATTGGTTACAGTAATCACATGGTACCGACTGGGCCAATCACAGCCTATCTGTGTCATGCGATTAGCTGTGGCCAATCACAGCTTATCAAAACAAAAAACACTGAATGAATCAATTTTATTCAGTTAAATGCTTTCCTATAGCAAATGCCTGCCTATAGTGAAATACACTGCTATAGGTAATCATAATATGTAAAACAAAAAAAAATACTGATCACTTCCCCAGAGTAGTACAGTGTTTCTATGGTAAAATTATATTACTGTGGTCAGTGTTTTATTTAAAAAAAACACATAAAAGAAAGAAAAATGTAATTAAAAAAAATTCAAAAAATATATATAATTTTTTTTTTTTTTCCCCACACAGTCAAGTGTCCTTGATCACTGCCACACCAGTTATATGATGATGCTGCACTGCACTGATGACAGTATGTAAAAAAAAACACCATGCCTCTTAATAAATGCTGCAGACTGTCTACTTTCCAAAAAGGGGTATTTTGGGTGATATCTGTACTGTCTTGTCAGTACATCAGGATTGATCAATTTTCAGATACAGCGGGTAAAATAAGTATTGAACGCATCACCATTTTTCTCAGTAAATATGTTTCTAAAGGTGCTATTGACATGTAATTTCCACGACATGTTGGTAACGACCCATGCAATCCATACATACAAAGAAAGTAAAACAAGTACGTTCAGAAATTAAGTTTTGTGTAATAAAATGGAATGACACAGGGAAAAAGTATCGAACACACTAACTGAAATGTATTTAATACTTCCTACAAAATTCTTTGTTGGTAATGACAGCTTCAAGACACCTTCTGTATGGAGAAACTAGTCACTTGCATTACTCAGGTGTGATTTTGTCCCATTGTTTCACACAAATTGTCTTCAAATGTTGAAGGTTCTGTGGGCATCTTCTATGAACTCTGATCTTTAGTTCTTGCCATAAAATTTCTATTGGATTCAAGTCAGGTGATTGGCTGGGCCATTCTAGCAGCTCTTTTTTCTTTCTTTGAAACCAATTGAGCGTACCCTTGGCTTTGTGTTTGGGATCATTGTCTTGCTGAAATGTCCACCCTCATTCCATCTTCATCATCCTGGTAGATGGCAGCAGATTATTATCATGAATGTCTTATTCCATCTTTTTGTAAGCTATCAAATGAGCCTGAACCAGCTAAAATAAATTTGCACTGACAAGGGGCAGGATTGCTTTCTAATTACTGATAGATTTCAGCTGGTGTCTTGGCTTTCCATACCTTTTTTGCACGTCCCTTTCTTCACATGTTCAATATTTTTTCCCTGTGTCATTCCATTTTATTACACATAACTTAATTTCTGAACTTATTTGTTTTGGTTTCTTTGTATGTATGGATTGCATGGGTTGTTACCAACATGTGGCGAAAATGTAATGTCAATAGTACCTTTTTAAAATTATATTTACCAAGAAAAATGATGATGTGTTCAATACTTATTTTATCCGCTGTATATACCATAGTTTATGGACTTTCCTACAGACTAAATAATATACCGTATTTGCCGGCGTATAAGACGACTGGGCGTATAAGACGACCCCCCTACTTTTCCTGCTAAAATTTAGTGTTTGAGCTATACTCGCCGTATAAGACTACCCCTCTTCCAATGCACACCAGTGGCAGGAATAGTGCCCCATCATTGGTATCAGTGGCAGGAATAGTGCCCCATCATTGGTATCAGTGGCAGGAATAGTGCCCCATCATTGGTATCAGTGGCAGGAATAGTGCCCCATCATTGGTATCAGTGGCAGGAATAGTGCCCCATCATTGGTATCAGTGGCAGGAATAGTGCCCCATCATTGGCATTAGTGGCAGGAATAGTGCCCCATCATTAGTATCAGTGGGAGGAATAGTGCCCCATCATTGGTGTCAGTGGGAGGAATAGTGCCCCATCATTAGTATCAGTGGGGGGAATAGTGCCCCATCATTGGTATCAGTGGGGGGAATAGTGCCCCATCATTGGTGTCAGTGGGAGGAATGGTGTCCCAACATTGGTGTCAGTGGGAGGAATGGTGTCCCATCATTGGTGTCAGTGGGGGGTGGAATAGTGCCCCATCATTGGTGTCAGTGGGGGGGGGGGGAATAGTGCCCCATCGTTGATGTCAGTGGGGGGGAGGAATAGTGCCCCATCGTTGGTGTCAGTGGGGGGGAGGAATAGTGCCCCATCGTTGGTGTCAGTGGGAGGAATAGTGCCCCATCATTGGTATCAGTGGGAGGAATAGTGCCCCATCATTGGTGTCAGTGGGAGGAATAGTGCCCCATCATTGGTATCAGTGGGAGGAATAGTGCTCCATCATTGGTATCAGTGACACCAATGATGGGGCACTATTCCTCCCACTGACACTTGCTGACCCTGTTCTCATATGGTGCTGCTGCAGCCAGCCAGCATATGTGGTTGCAGCAGCACCTCTACACTGACCACTTACCTGCTGGTCCGGCACTCGATTTTCGCGGGGCCGCTCGGCTCCACCCCCTCGCCGGTGATTGGCCGCCTGTGTGCCTTTCCTGAGCTACAGTTCTGGCGGCCAATCACTGGTGAGGAGGCGGAGCCGAGCAGCCGCACGAACATCCAGTGGCCGAACTGAAGGCGCAGCCGCGCTTCCTGGACCGGATCGTCTTGGGACCGGAACCAGGTAAGAAACAGCCGCTGCCCACCCCTGTACTTAGTGTCCCTTCCATTGGGGGAAGGGGGGGGGGCGGCGGCGGCAACGCGCCGCCCCCCCTAAAAAGTGTCAGTATGCCGTATACCGGCGTATAAGACGACCCCCGACTTTTGAGAAGATTTTCAAGGGGTAAAAAGTCGTCTTATACGCCGGCAAATACGGTACACTAATTTGAGTTTTTGTTCACCAAAGCAATGTAACAGTATAAATGTTGGCCTAAATTTATGAAGAACAATTATTTGCAAAATTTTACAACAGAAATGAAGAAATACTTGTTTTCAAACTTTTTTCGTTTATTTAACAAAAAATAAAAACCCAGAGGTGGTTAAATACCTCCAAAATAAAGCACTAGTTGTGTGAACAAAATGATTAAAATGTAGTTTGTGTACAGTATTGCATGACCATGCAATCGTCACTCAAACTGTGAGAATGCTGAAAGCTGAAAATTGGCAGGAAGGGGGTAAAAGTGCCCAGTATTGAAGTGGTTAAAGCGGAGCTCCACCCAAAAGGGGAAGTTCCACTCTAAGCCTTTGTCCCCCGCTTCCCATTAAGGATTGGCACCTTTGGGGAGCGGGGGGGGAGGAGTACCTGCTCCCACTTCTGCTGCAATCGCCAAGGTGATCGGAAGTGGAAGTCGTCCTCCCCGTAGTCTACTGGGACACATGACAGGTCCCAAAAGACCAAGGGGCCATTCACAAAGTGCAGCGCTACATGCGCATGCGCAGTGGGCACCCGGCTGTGAAGCCGCAAGCTGTCACAGCCAGGTTCCCATACTGAAGAGAGAATGGAGAGAAGACAGCCAGTGAAACCAGCCGTGGTGAGGACACCGCTGGACCAAGGGACAGGTAAGTGGCTGTATTTTAGAAGTCAGCAGCTACAGCCTTTGTAGCTGCTGACTTTTATTTATTTTTTTTTTTTTTCAGGTGGAACTCTGCTTTAAGCAATGAGCAACTTCTGCCTCTCAGATAAGTTCCCACTGATACCAGTGATCTTTTGTAGCTATCTGTAAGGGGGAATTCTACCCAATGACCACAGGTATAAGGAGCATTCTTGCTACTGATCAAAACACTTACAGTGTACATCATGAGCTGTAGATTTAGTCATTTTTAGCAGGGCTTCCCTGAGACCGGAAAGATGCTTCAAGGGTTCCTCTTTGTTGAAATGGTTGAGAGACGCTGCTGTAATATATTACATTTTGTTCTTGAGTTTGGATACACTTTAACTGGGAGGGACGGTAGACTGTCAGCTCCTCTAAGAAAAGAGACCAATGACTTGAGTCATGTCCTCTTTTCATGCCGTATGAATGTATGAAATAAACACATATTTGTGAAAGCCATCATCGGATATCTACTAATTAGATCTGCATCTCATCTGACATTGTGTGTTCCTCTCTTCACAGTCACAGATTGCCTTGCCCCATACATCGAAGATGCGGA